GATTAGGACTTTAGTTTATACGAACATACGACCCAATAGTATATATAGAGAAAAGATGGAATTAGCCCATTAGCTCATAGGCACATATGGGCCCCAACAGTTCAGATTGAATCTCAACCGATCTGTCGACCATAGATGGTTAATAGTACTTGAATTTTTTTTTTTCTACAGATCCAAACAATGGTTTAAAAAACAGATCGGTGACCCTGATCGAGCACCCAAAAAACCGATCCTGATAAACGAATCGGATCGAAAATCGGGTGAATCGCTCATAATAAAGCTTCAAAAAAATTCGAAAATTTTATTAAAATTCATTATAAATATTATTTTTTAGGAATTCAATAAGAAATGAGGGTACTCCATTAAAAATTTTCATGTTTTTGAATGAATATGCGAATATTGATATGTTCTTTCCCTGCACGAACCGTCATTCAGCATTTAATTTACATCACACAAAAGGATAAACATAGAATTATCATGGAATAAGTATATCAAAATACATGGACTACAATAAAGCATAAAATTAGTAACATACGATCTAAAAATAAAATGATAGACGACGTTGTTGTTCTTCTTAGTCACGCTGGTGCCATTAATTGAATTCGTTTGACAATTCATTGATTCGATCTAAAAACGAATCATCGATATTAACAGGCGTCTGACTATTCCCAAATCCCTGAGTGTTAGTGTTTTGTTGTGTTCCCAATCCAAAATCCCCGAAGCTTGTCCATTCTTCATGCTCACCTGCACTGTCGTGCTCATCCCTACACTGTTGCTGTTGGGACTCGATATGTGAATAACATGGCTGGGATAGGGTGACCTCAGAATCATCATCTCTCTCATTTTCTCTTAGACCCCCTTCCCACTCTCTCTCATTAGGTGCAATATCACCGACATCTCCGACGAATTGTGGATACGTTGGCTGGCTGCTTCTTCTTTCATGCTGCTCATCACTTTCTTCAAGATCTTCATCACCGATAGCCTCAAGGAACGCTCTCTTGTGCAACACTGGCTCCTCCTCTTCTACTACCCATTGGTCTGCTGTGTTTGTGACAAATATCGTGTCCAAGTCATCGGCCCATAGTCTTTAAGCTTCCTTCTTATTTGTCGCTCTCTGAGGTTTAAATTATAATGAACGTAGACTAGTTTATGAAGCTTCTCAGAAGCGAGTCGATTCCTTCTAGTAGTGTGCAACCATTAGAACGTACTCTAGTTGCGCTCACAGCCAGTAGCAAAACATGTCTGGGAGAGCACCTTGATTGCTATCCTCTTTAGGTGAGGTGCATCAGTACCATATATCTCCAACCATTCAACTGGATTAAAATGCAAAAAGCATTGTAAGGGCAAGAACAATTCAGAAGATTAAATATATGAATGAAAAAAATATTAGCGAGGGGATAACCTGGATCCATCATAGTTCGAGAATTTCTGGCAAGTCTAGTTCCGAAGGATCCTATAGCATCCCTATACATAGCAAGATAAAACAAATATATTACGTTTTAGTGCATTATTCCTCACAAATATAACAACTCAATGAAGTTCTTACCCAAACATTAAATAATACCTCTTGTATTGCTGCTACTTGGTTTCGATGGCTTCTCTCCAACCTTGAAATAATGTATCTGACCCCTTCTATAATCTTGTGGGGTTGTTCAGGTGTCAAATAGAAAAATTTTTGGTTGAAGTAGTAACCTAAAAAATATATAAGTAGAAAAATGTCATTTACAATTTCATAAAAAAATGATTTAAACTGAAACATTGTAATGATATAAATATATATTTACCAGTATAATGAATTCGACGTCCAAATTTGGTGTTCCACCTCTTTTCTATAATCTCGATCACCTTGCTAGCAAAATTACACTTCTCCCCAATAGCTGATTTCGCCCTCTCAATACCTTCATAAAGGATACCCATTGTAGCTTTCTTGTCAGCATCTACCATTCTTAACATCGTGACCAAAGGAGCAGTGACCTCTACGACACTGGAACATCGAGACCAAAACCGCCTATTTGAGACTATGTTGTCCACTTTTATACCGGTACTGGACTTCGAGAGGCGGTCATTTAACCACTCTTCACAGGTAAATAATCTCTTTAATGCACCTTCAGATTCTCGAATGGAGTCCACAGCTAAGTAATCGGTCGCAAAGCGGGTTATGGTAGGCCTGATTTTCTCTTTTTTCTTAGAGTGTTCTCTAAACATAAATAAAATTTTAGAGTGGTTGTATATAAATCTCGACACCAACCTTGCTTCCTGTAGAGTCTCCTTTACAATTTTGATATCACCGATCTCCTCTAACATAAGATCGATGCTGTGTGCAGCACACGGGGTCCATACTAGATGCTTCCTCTTATCCATCAACTTGCTGCCCGCAGAAACACATGCCCGCGCATTGTCTGTAATAAACTGGACTACATGTTTATCTCCCACCTCCTCCACTATCTGATCATATAGTCGTACGTAGAAGTTTGCATCCTTATTCGTCCCTAATACGTCTTTGCTAGACAAAAAAACTGTACTTTTTGGGAAATAGGCCAAGAAGTTTAAAAACTCATTTTTGCTAACTTTATTCAACCAACCATCACTCATGAGAGTAATGCCTGTCCTTGGCCAACTCTGTTTATATTCTTCAATCCACTTTGTAACTTCCTCCACCTCTTCATCTAATATTGGCCCACTGAGCTCATATGCCGTCGGGGGTTTTACCCCGAGCCCGACTCTTTGGATTGCACTGACCATAAGTGGAAAATATGGG